TAACAGCAGCCTTACTCACAGATCTAATCTACTGTAAAATATTTTATTTCAGCTGGAATTATCATTCGCTGAAAAGACTTTTTCTGGTGTTTTGTATTGAATTTATTTTCATTGATTTTTGACAAGTTGACTGTAAAATATAAGAAAAGGGTATATTCGCTGGATTTTATTTTAACTGAAACATTCCTTCAGCGAAAATAGCAAAAAAATGTTGCAAGCAAAAATAAAGTATTTTACAGTAATTAATTTATTCTGAGCATGCGCAGACGTTTTGTCAATGTTGCCGGGAGAGGCAATTTTTGATAAAATCGTGAAAAAGACCCACTTGGGATTTTCAGATCTGGAAAAAAAATTACGTGCATACTCGGAGGGGACATGTTCATCAACCTGCCAAGTTTCACTGATATCTGCTGTAGAATTTCTGAGAAAATGTTGGAGACGTAATTATGGACATAACCTGAATTAGTAGTCCCCTTTTCAGGCTGCGCCTGAACGGGGACTAAAAATGTATTTTAATGTATGCAACATTTTTGAAAACCATGCAGAATGCCAAGTCTGTTTTATTTCAAGGAAATCCAATTAATCAAATTCAGCAGGATTGGTAAACCAAATTTATGTTATTTATAACATGAGAATAATAATTGCCTTTTATTCAGCAATATATAAATAAAGACTGGGAAAATGTGAAGTTGGTTTTTCCCAGCTGCCTAACAAAATATGAAATGCCTCGAGAATGAAATAAAACATTTTTTGGAATAAAATGAGGAACTAGTGGGACTTCAGATAAATGTAATGTAATGATGTTAGGTATGAAGTTACCAAATTTAACATTACGACCATTTTATTCACATTCTAAAGATGACCCTGGGTAACATAATGCCTTGAGTATGTATCTCCAAGTCCATTATTGTTCAAGACAAAAAAAATCCCAAACTTTATTGATCAAATTTGTTTACATTCATTCTGTTAAAAATTATTGAATGTTTCTATGGAGAAAATGGCAGCACAAGATAATTCAATATAGTGTCAAACTATTCCTCGTGTCAATAATTGGAAGTCTACTCACCACATTTGAAACACATTTTATGCCACTTTTTGCCAGCGCCCGACACTTCCTCTGCTTGGTAGACCGATTTCCCACATTTACCACATTTTGGACCACCTCCCCAACGCGACATAATGATGTAATCTGATAACAAGTGACAGAAATTCAGACATTATGCAAATTCATTCCACATGTATTTGCTCTAATAAAGCACATGTTGCATAAATTATATATACTGGGTTATGGCAATATGATTTAATATGTAAGCATTTTACAAGTTTGACATGATATTTATTTTTTCATAGTCAGATGGATATGAAAAAAAAACAAATTTTTTTCAGAATGATTTTACATATCACAAAAGTATGGGAAAATAAAGCATTTTTAACCAGGACCAGTGAAAAATACAATGTCTTGAAGGGTACTGTTAAGTAGACCAGAACTGATGAAATCATCATGGGTTCAACAGACATGTAAATTGAATCATCACTACATACAACTTTGGTAATATGTTTTCTCAAATCACATATCTTTTTATATCTATGCTTTCAGAATATTGTCTTAGCTTTAAAAATAATCAAGTTGGAGTATTTTATGTTAATTAATTCAGGAATTAAAATTGAATGAATTATAACTCGAACTACAAACTGATAAAAAGAAAAACAAAAGTAATCTAATAACAATCTGATATAGGTATAGTCTCCATAATGATTGCAATGTGTAATTAAGGTGATCAAGCCAAGTTACAGA